TGTGTGTGTGTGTGTGTGTGTGTGTGTGTGTGTGTGTGTGTGTGTGTAAAATGTAGAAATTAATTTGGTAATTTTTTTAGATAAATTTAATTATTCATTTACTTTTAAATCATTCCGACAATCATTTCTTGGATTGTTCGATGACAGAACAAGATAGATTCCTAACGATTTTAAGGGAGGATTTATCATATGCTTTATTTGAAGAGTGAAAGAAAAACATAGGATCTTTTATTTCTAAACCTTCTAATAAACTAAGTGGTAATATCAATTCGTTTCTGAATGAAGCCATCCTGTGACATTTCTTGTTTGTTTATTACCAATTATCGATCGTGATATGCAAAAAACAATCGTTTATCATTAATTGTGGCCTTTATTGAATGCATTTAAATAAATCAATTATGTATAAAATGCTATTGAATTTTTATTTCATAAAATGTACGAAATATAAAAGATTTTTTATTTTTTATTTCGAGTGCAAAAGTAAAGAACATTTAAGAACAGTTTTCGTTTAATAATTCCTCAAGCTCTCTTTGTATTTTTAATTTCGAAAAGTTCTTTGATTTCGATAGTTATCGAACTAGTTTTTTGCACTTAATAGGATCATTTGCAAAAAAAAAAAATGTTCGAGACGAGCCACGATTTCTTCAAGGGCACCACTGACGGAACTTGTTTGTTTCAAATATCGCATTTATCGTTGCGATAACAGATCGAGAGAATTGTCATAAAAAAATAAATTTGAAAGAGTTGGAAATGCTATGAAAAATGCAATGCAATTCAGCCAAAATGCAAATTTCTCGGAAACTGATGTTATTTTCTTTGTGTTATTTTCAATTGTAAAACGATGTACGTGTGACAATTTCGGATCTGATATTTCGAGAAATAACGAGAAGTAAATGTAAATAAAAGTGATTGAAATATTAATACAATATAATATAATTATTTAAAGTAATTATTAAATAATAATCTAAGCATATTTGGAAATTTAATATTTTGATTGTTGTTGTTATTTATTTATTCATTCATTATTATTATTGATTTTTAAATCATCAGCTAAAAATCAACTAAATGGTTCACGTAAATTAATAAAATAATAAGCAAACTAATATATATTGTTTAATTCATCGCTATTACAGTAATGATAGAAACCTATTACAAGATGAAAATAAAGTTTGAAAAATAGACCACCGTGAACTTTAGGTCGCCGTACAAACAGATTAACGATTACAATAATCACTGATTACAAATAAACTGCGGATGTTTGTATATTTCTGAAAGAGATAGTCCAAGTCCGAAGAATTTACACGAAGAATGCACGTTATACGCAAACATATACGTGGTGTTTCATTTGTATCTCATCAAACGATGTCAGCATGTTCTATTGATTAAAATAAGAAAAATATGTAAGTTATATAAAGATAAGGTGATTGCATTTATTATAAATATAATGAGAACATTAAATTTATATAATTGATTGATTGATTTCTCATTTAATTCTGCGCGAAAATGTTGGCAATATTTAATTATGTTAGAGAGGTTATGTTGGCAATATTTGACTATGTTAGAGAGGTTATGTTTATTATTAACGGGCATTGTATATACGCATACTATGTTTGTTGCACTGCATATGTAGTTAATATTAATAGCGTATCAAGTATCGTACAAATTAATTGAATAAATTTCTACTTTTGTCATTTTTTTAATACATATTTATTTAACATTTTTTCTTTTTCTTTTTTTTTTTTTGATTATAGAACGCGCTGACTACCATTTTGGTGGGATAAAAATGAAACTTCCTGTACAAGATATCTAAATCCAGAGTACTTAAGTTTAGGTTAGCTTCATTGCATTATTAGGTTAGATCATAAGTACTTAGTAGATGGGATCGATCTGTCTTTAGCTCTTCCATTTACGTTCGTAAAAATATCGACGACTGTAAGGGAATTATTCAAGGCATTTTGCGCGATGAATCTCCGCTGATAGGAGGGGAGCACTTAGAAGAATGAATCGGCTGAATTCGTCGTACAAGAATGGGCTCGTTGTAGTTTCATTCACTTCCCTGGGCTTCTTAGTCCGATAATCCAATAACGTTGCGAGCGTGCGGTTCCGCGTAATTCCAAAGGCCGTTTATATCTCTTTCAGAGGTTTCTGCGTATTCAATGAATTCCGGTATATCCACACACGGCTTGCGAAACTCCGCTAACCTCACTATTTCCGGACTTCTTATCGAGTTTCTGATTATTAATAAACTGCGGGTCTTTGTGCGATTTTAAATTTCCACGGACGTCGGGCGAAGTGGCTTGGCTTTGATTGTCATTTTGTTACGCAGAGATCAGTGATAAAATTAAGTCGAATTAATCAGTAATAATGTCACCGTGATGATGATTTTTGTCCCCCATTTTTGAAACGAATCGCGCGCTGTGCAAAGAGGTTTACAATTGCACGAAACGTTTCTTCCGCCAACGAGGCAGGTTGGCTTGTTTTCTGGCTAAGAGAGTCCCTCTGGTTCTTCTCTCGATCTTCTCGGCATCGTCCGTTTGCCACGCAAATATATAAATAGCGTTCCAAAATTATCGAGCATTTCGGCGATTGGCGGCGGCAGAAAACGTCGCCGAAGGAAAGTTCCACGTCTGACG